TTTGTTTTGGAAGCTGGATAGCATCCAGAAGAGCCGAAACAAGGTGGTGGTGTGTAATATGTGTATCTGAGCTAGTAAGGAAGTTTCTCTGCTTCCAAATGGTGCTGTAATCAATGATAACTCAGAAGGCATAATGGCTGTCTGTATGGATGGAAATGGATTTGCCCTCGGCATATTTACAGGCTTTAATGAGTGCCTTGATTTCTGCTGCTTGTGTGGACAGGTTGCCCAGTAGCGCACCCAACACAACTGTTTCATGGTCTGTTACTACTGTAAATCCTATTTTGTTTTTTTGGGTCTCTTGATGCTGATCCATCTACATACAGGACAAGATCTGGATTATGCAGGGGGAAATCCTTCAAGTCTGCTCTAGGAGTACAGAGGTTGTTGGTTAGTGCCACACAGTCATGTGGTTCTCTGTCCTGTTCTGTGGGGAGAAGAGAGGCAGAGTTAAGAGTTGTGCATCTCTTAATTGCATATCAAGCATCACAGTGTTGTACCTTAACCACATCTGTGTGGACAGATGTGACACTCTCTGTTCTGTGAGAAGCATAAAGACTGCATGTGGCACCAGCAAAGTAAGATCTGAATATCCTACCAGGTCTCGTGAGGTGGTGACCACCTTTTCCACAGCTGCTACCACCCTGAGACATGGGGGCAGGCCTGCTGCTACTGGGTCTAAATTGTTAGAGAAATATGCCACTGGTCTCAGCCTGTCCCCATGTGTCTGCAACAGTACAGACAGCATACATCCATTTTTCTCATCCACAGTTTGTACAAACGGCTTGGTTGGGTCGGGTTGACCTGAAGTGGGAGTGGTCTGCAAGGCCTTTTTCATGTTCTTAAATGCTTCATCAGCTTCTGGAGTCCCCTGGACCTTTGAGGAAGCCATGAGGTTTGGTGCCTCCAGGAGGGAGTAATTTGGAATGAATGTTCTACAATATGAGCACATGCCTAAAAATGAAAGTACCTGTTTCTTGGTACAAGGTTTTGGAATTTTTTGAATGGCAGAAATTCTGTCTTGGATAGTTTCTTCCCTTCTGCTGAGATGTCATGTCCTAGGAACCTGGCTGAACTGCAGTTTATAAAGGCTGGCTTTGTGGCCCTCTTTAGCGAGGTGTTGCAACAATGCCACAGTGTGTCGCTTGCACTGTTCTCTAGTTGGCACACATATCATCAAATCATCTACGTACTGCAAAAGTGCGGTTCCAGGCATTATGGATAGTGTGTCTAGGCTGTGTTTGAGTGCCTGATTATAAATTATGGGGCTTTCACAATATCCTTGGCATAGCCAAGTAAATGTATATAGTGTCCCGTCAAACATAAAGGGGAACCAAAATTGGCTGTCTTTATGGAGGGGAACACTGAAGAACGCGTTGGCCAGATCGACTACCGAAAACCATTGGCTATCCCCAGGAAGTTGACTCAGAATTGTGCATGGATTTGATACGTCTTGGGCTCTTTGTACCACAACTGAATTTACTGCCTGCAGGTCTTGTACAAACCTCTACTCATAGGGTTGAGGGCGTTTTCTGGCCTTTTTAGTGTTGAAAATTGGTGTTCAAACTGGTGAATCAGGACAGGGAACAGTAACCCCTGCTTTTAATAGGGAATCAAACACAGATCTGATCCCTTCCACAGCTTCCTGTTTCAGTGGGTATTGTGCTTGTCTAGGCCTGTAGTCTGATTTGGGTGTGATCACAACTAGTTCTGCACCTTTGATTAGTCCCATATCGTGTTTATCGTAATTAGGATGTACCTCTACCAATTTAGAGTGAATTTGTTATGTGAGTGTTTCTGGAATCTTGAGTTCAATTCCCCTTTTACTGTTTATTAACAATGGCATTTTCTGTTTATAGGCTTGCAGCCTGGCAGTAAACCAAATACCTGGGGTTTCTGTGAGCATCCAGTCGGACACCCTAGGATCAGAACATCTCCATATCCATGGGCCTATTGCCTTCCATTTGACTGCTGCTGATTTAGCTAGGGAGACTGGGGCTGAGTGTTCCACACAAAACATTTGCCACTGATTACGTTCACAATTAAGCCCCTCTGATCCAGTGAGTTCGACTAGGCATGCACAGAAATTTTTGCCCAGTACAGTTATGTTATTTGCTATGTTTCATTCAGACACTTTTCCCTGAACCATTCTTTTTCATATGTCTCGTCCCTTCCCTCAGGCACATGAGCTGTGCGATGGAGACGGAGGTCGGGAGGGGACATATACTCAATATTCTATTCCCCACTCATTTTCTCCCTTGACTTTTACATCAAATATTCTGTGATTTTTGAGGTTGGGTCGGGACACAACTTCCACTCATATATAAGAGAGGACTTCCTGGTCCCACTTTGACACAATTCAGGCTATTTTCTATGACAGTGACCCCTTGTGGTGCCAACTCTAGGGAGAGGTTCAATGCACACATCAAATCCCTTCCCAATATGTTTATGGGACATGTGCTTGAGATAAGAATTGAATGTTTTATTTTGCACCCCTCCTCAGTCTTGCACCCCAGCGGTTCACTGAAATGTTCCACTACTGAGTGCCCAGTAGCCCCCACAGTGTGAACACTGCGTTTGCTGAGTTTTGGATTCTCATGAAATTCAGCCATTTGTATTAATGAGTCAACCAGAAATCATATTTTATGAACCAAATCTGGTTCCCCCCATGGTATGAACGGATGGTGGGGGGGGGGTCTTCTGGGGCAGGCGGGCAGATGGTTCGACTGGTTCCTGTTCTGCTGCTCTGCCTTCCACATGTCGGTGTCTTGGTGGGGTGGAGTCCAGGTCTGGTTCGGCCTGAAACACACACTGACAAGAGTGCGAGGGCTTTCCCTGCACTTTTCTACTTCTCTTATGCACCTTTCCTTTTCTTTCCCTTATCCTCCTGTTCATTCAACTCTCCTGACCATCTCTCTTTCATCTCCAATGCTTCCTTCAGAGCCTCGAACTGCCTAAGATTGAAACTTCCCCTTTCTAGAATTCCACATTCATTAACCTGATATCAAACTGTTTCAAACTTTCTTTAACATAGTTTATTCCCATGAAAACAATATTAGGTCAAAACAATATTCTTTCACAAATGTTTGTAGAAGCAGTCTGCAGGCCTAGGTGCTTGGTTTTATACACCTGTGGCCATGGAAGTGATTGGAACACCTGAATTCATTTATTTGAATGGGTGAGTGAATCCTTTTTTTAGTGTATGTGCTCTACCTGTCCAGGTGTGTGAGAGCAGTGTGTATTGTTAGTGCAATGGTGTCGTCTGTGAATCTGTTAGAGTGGTATGCAAATTGGTGAGGGTCCATGGTGGCTGGAAGTGTTGAACAGATGTGATCTTTGACCAGCCACTCAAAGCACTTCATAACTGTAGATGTCAGTGCAACAGAGCAGCAGTCATTTAGGCAGGCAATAGCTGGTTTCTTGGGGACTGGAACAATTGTGGTTTTCTTAAAGCATGTGGGAATCACTTACAGTCTTAAGGAGCGGTCAAAGATGTCAATGAAAACCTTAGTCAGCTGGTTGGCACATGCTTTAAGTACATGACTTTTGGCCAGCCTGATGGTCCTCTGAAGTTCAAGTTTGCCCTGTTAAAATCCCCAACCACTATAAAAACAGCCTCAGGGTGAATGTTCTCAAGTCCATTAATGGTCTTTTCCAGTGCATGTGACTTATCTGCCTGAGGTGGGATGTAGACTGTGGTGAGAATGACTGAGCTAAAGTCTCTGGGCAGAAAAAAAGGTTGAACTTTGACTGTTATGAGCTCAATGTCTGGAGAGCAGTGACTGGCTAGAACTGCTACATCTGTTCCCCATTGAGAGTTCACCATAACACATACCCCGCCACCTCTGCCCTTACCAGAAAGTTCGTCTTGAGCGATGATTGGATATTCAGAAGAGTTTGTCAATCATATTGAATGATCCCAAAAGTGGTATGTGCAAAAACACAAAGAAACAGCACAATAAAACACAAAAAACTGTAGAGTTTACCCGGAGCTCTCACAGTGCAACCAGTCTATGGCGCACCAGAACCGGAATCGGTGCAACATTATAAATGAGGGTCACCCTTAATGTTTTCCGAGGTTAAATAAACGTTGATTAATTGATTGATACTGATGGGATTCACACTATTTTAAAAGCCAGGGGGCTCTTTACCAAATATTCCAAAATGAATGACACATGCAAGTATTTTTTTGTCCAGCTCATAAAGATTGATACACAAAAAGGTCTACTTAAAGCAGTAAAAATCAAGTATGCACCAAAAGTGAGGCATTTGTACGAGCTGGAGATCAGTAGGCCGGCCACTATGAGTGCTGGAGAGTGGAAGGAGGTTTTTGATTCATGTATATAACAGTGACTTTGCAAGCATAAATATGCATATAATTAAAGTAAACATTTTTTGTACTTTACATTTTGGTATTCAATTCATGACAGTTTTAGTCTCAGGACAGGTGATGGATCGGGAACATATCTAAGAAACTAGTCTACAGTAAAACACCCAAAACCTAACGCTGCAAACCTTGACCATATGCCCTTGTGTTTGGGTAAGAAAGCTTACCTCACTGACCCAGCAGAAGGATGAGAAACTTCATCAAATTCTCGTTTACAGCTTAAATTTGTTTTAGTTATCCCATTTGTACAGTCACTTCTGAGTGATGTAGTGGACCTCACCTTGAGATCTTTCTGAACTAAAGAGAAAACATTTAAAATATCAAAAAACACAAAAACAATCTAACAATGTCCTTTAAATGTTGAATTCTATGATTTATAAAGGTAATTCAAATGATGAATAGTTAGGTGTAGTTTGCAGCTTAATGAATGGCTAATACGTAAGCTTCTATGTTAACAGTCAAAGTTCACTGTCTCTCTTTTGTTTAGACAGTTAACATTAAACAGCTTTCTGATTGAGTCCAAGTAAAGTAAAGTCAGGAACAGCCTCTGCAGGACAGCCTATTTGTTTGTAATGGGCAGTGTATATATTGAATTAGTTTGTATGCAGTGGTAATGTATACTCATTTAAACTTAAATGTGTTCAGTGTTTTGGAAAAAGGGAAAAACACACAGAATAAAATAATCACATAAAAGTTTAAAGGAAAAAATTTAAAAAGATGTATGTATCTTCCTTTTCCACATCATTTTCTTGATTTTACTGTAAATATCTTGCAGTTTCAAACCATACATTATAGGATTAATAAGAGGAGGAATGACCAAATTTTCAATAGACACCATCACAGAAACAATATGAGGTACATTTCCTTCTAATCTGGTATTAATCACCTCAAAACAGGAGTTAAAAGAAAAACTGATAAAAATGAAAAGGTGTGGGAAGCAGGTCTGCAGAGCTTTTCTTCTGAACTCTTTGGAATTCTTAAAACAGATTTCAAAAATTCGAACATATGAGTAGATTATAAAGATCACTGGTGGAAATACAGTAAGAGTTAAACCAAACAGTCCATAAGAATTGCTAACTGATGTGTCTCCACAGCTCAGTTTTGCAATTGAGTAATCATTACAGTAAATTCTGTCTAAATTAAATTTACACAGCTGAAGCTGGTATGTTAGTATTATTAATATTCCAATTTCACAAGCAGGAAAAAGCCAACAGAAAAATAAGAACTTTTTCACAGTGGACATTTTTACAAGTGTTGCATATTGTAATGGTTTACATATGGACACATATCTGTCATAGGCCATAACTGATAACAGTGTGAACTCTGAAGCTCCATATGTGTAAATAGAAAAGGCCTGAAACAGACAGGCTGAGTAAGAAGTAACTGGTCTTTCAGATAGAAAATCACTCAAAAGTTTAGGATAAAGTGCAGATGTTCCAAAAAGGGAATTGAAAAGTAAAGCAGCGATGAAAATGTACATCGGCTCATGGAGACATTTGTTTGTGTAAATGACAAAAATAACAACAGCATTAAAGAAAATAATCAACAGATAAACAGTGAGAGTACTTATAAAATAAAAATATCTGTACTTGTGCAGTTCAACATGCCCATCCATAAACAAGTATATAACCTCAGAAGAATTATCCATGAATTCCCATGAAGTAACCCATAAATTAAATTTGTCTGTAAGATGTGGTGCTGGTCACAGTAACATGCTGCTCCAATCAGGCGTCATCTACTAGAAATCATAAGCAATGATGAACTGTGGCATTACAGTCATGCTATGGTGAGGAAATAGGTTGGTGTGTATTTTTACTTTCTCAAACAGTGACGTCTGATTGTTTACTTAGTGACTCGTCTCTAGCCCAGCCCACCTTTGTTTCTATTGCAACAGTTAAAGAAAGAATGCCAATGAAATGAAAATCTCCACTGGATTATGTGATTAAAATGTCTGACATTTCTTATTATATATATTTTTTACAGATTCTTTGATTACTATAATCAGATAAATAGAATGAGCCGTTTCATTCTCTGTCCGAGAGTCTTATTAGTCTTTCTCTCTTTGAAACCTGTTTCTCTTTCTGTTACCTTTTCCTTTTTCTCTGTGGAACATCCTGTCCTTGATGTTGGTTAAAGTTTCATTTCTGCAAATGATTTAGCTCTTTTTCTGTCTACGAACAGATTGTTTTATGTTACTGTAGCAAGCCAAGTGCTCATCCAGCCACAGAATGGACACTGGAGGCAGAAGAGACGTCTGCAGCAGCCATATTCTTTATTTTCACACTACACAATAAAAAAACAATCTTGTCACGTTACAGTGGCTTCAAAACTAGACTTTTCAGTCCTTTTCTCTCATGAGCTTTTCAGCTCTTCAGTCTGTCGCTGCTGGTAAGTGGTGTCGATTTAGAGTAAAAACACCTTGATGGTCTTCAGAGCTGTCCTCACAATAAGCTGTATGTTCTTGTGGTTTGAGATGGTACAGTTCCCATTCCAGACAGTGACACAGCTTGTCAGGAGGCTTTCTACTGTCCTCCCGTGGAATGTGATGAGGATAGAAAAGGGAAGGTTTGCTCATTTCATGTCTAAAGTGAAGTTGCTAATTGGGATTCTTGGCTAAGCAAGTGGTTTTGAGGGTCCAGGTGAGATTGTTGTTGATGTGCAAACAAAGGAACTTGGAACTTTTGTGTCTCTTCACAAGTGAACCATTGATGTGCATTGGAGGATTAGCACAGCGAGTCCTCCTAAATTCAACAATCATCTTTTTCATCTTATCAACATTAAGAGGTAAGATGTTGTTTCTTCACCAGTCCATTTCCTCTTTGTTGCTGACACATTCCTATAGCAAGAACCACCACTATAGTATCACCAGCAAACTTCACGATGTAATTTGAGCTCTGTGTTGCACTACTTTCGTAAGTCAGCAGTGTAAATAGCTGGTTTTCAGCGTAGTGGTGATAGAGGTGGTCTTGCTGACCCTGACAGAATGAGGTGTCCCAGTCAGATGATATTATATCCTCTACAACCTGGTTAGGGTGAGACATGTAGTGAAATGAGTCCAAGGTGGAATGAAGACTGGTCTATATGTGTTTCATTATCAACTGCTCAAAGTGATAAATGATGACTGTTTTGAAGTGGTCCAGGACAACTGCATGGCTCCCAACAATGTTGAAGATGTCTGTTGTCATATGTGAGAGCTGGTCAGGACATCCCTTGAGCACCCATTGAGGCCTGTTATTAGGTCCAGCAGCCTTGTGAGGGTCAACTCTGGAAAGAGAAGTTCCAAGATTTACTATGGATAGACTAAGTACTTGAGAGGAAGGGAGTTCTACTTTACTGGCTGGTTGTTCTATGCATCAAACTCTCTTAAAAATCATTTAGTGCATCTAGGTGTAAGGCATCCCTATCACAGGCATGTGCTGTCACTTTGTAGTCAGTGTTGGCCTGAATGCCCTGCAATATACGCTGTATGTCTCTGGTGTCCTTAAAGTGTCCGTTGATTTTCTGGGCATAATTTTGCTTTGCATCTCTGCAAGACTGGGACAATTTGGCTCTTGAACTGCTGAGCCCTGGCTTTTCATCCATGTTGCTCATGACTGCCTGTTTTTTTACCACTGGCTGTAATGGATTTGATTCTTGGTTTGCCCCCAGTAAAGCCACTCCATACATGAAGCCTGGCTACAAGCCACATTCATAATAAAAAGCTTGATCATTTAAATTTGCATAGAATAGTATGCTCCACATGTTCCACCAAGCCCAGCTCCTCACTGCTTGTGCTTTCCAAGAAATTTCATGGAGCACCAGCAAGGTGTCAGACGTTTGTGAGTGAGTGGCAGTTCTATGTAGCCCATCACAATGGGTCATTCCATTTTGAGAGGCATTTGTAGCTTATTTGACATGATGGCTTGTCTTAAAGTGGGCAGACTAAAAAAGGGCTTTTCAGGTTGACACTGCTCACTTACTGGTTAAGTTCTGGGTTATCTACTGGAGAGCCTTTGACTGGAGGTGAAGAAGAAACACTATAGAGGCTATATATCTCCAGTACCAACCCTTGTCTTGTGAAGCACCTTGCTGGTAACTAAGCAGGCATGGAGTCTTTAATGGCAGGGTAGCTGACCCTGAGTCCATACCAGGTCCCACAGCACCACCCAGGGCTTCAGAAACAGCCAATTAGCTGTTGATGGGTTCCAAAGTGTGTAGAAGTGCTCCAGAGCACATCAGTGAACCACAGGCAGGTCATCCAGCACTGCATAGTGTTTTGAAGAGCACTATTGAGCTGGCTTTTTATTCTGTCCTGCCTGTGGCTGAAGGCCCAGCCTCTCCTGTCCTCCTGCCTGTAGCTGAAGGCCCAGCCACTCTTCTCTTCCTTCCTTTTGTTGAAGGCCCAGACACCCCTGACCTCCTGCTTGTCGCTGAAAGTCTAATCACTCCAGTCTTTTTATGCATGACTGAAGGTCTGGTTGCTACTGTCTTTCTGCCTAATCTGAAGGCCCAGTCGCTCCTGTCCTCCTGCCTGTAGTTTTAGGCCCAGTCCCTCCTGTCCTCCTGCCTGTGGATGAAGGCCCAGTCCCTCCTATCCTCCTGCCTGTGGCTGAAGGCCTAGTCGCTCTTGTCCTTCTGTCTGTAGCTAAAGGCCCACACACTCCTATCATCCTTCTTGTATTTTAAGGCCCCGCCTCTCCTGTCCTCCTGCCTGTAGCTGAAGGCCCAGGCACTCTTCTCTTCCTTTCTTTTGCTGAAGGCACAGACACCCCTGACCTCCTGCTTGTCGCTGAAAGTTTAATCACTCCAGTCTTTCTATGCATGACTGAAGTTCTGGTTGCTACGGTCTTTCTGCCTGATCTGAAGGCCCAGTCACTCCTGTCCTCCTGCCTGTAGTTTTAGGCCCAGTCCCTCCTGTCCTCCTGCCTGTGGCTGAAGGCCTAGTCGCTCTTGCCCTTCTGTCTGTAGCTAAAGGCCCAGACACTCCTATCATCCTTCTTGTATTTTTAGGCCTATGCTCTCTAGTCCTCCTGCCTGTGGCTGAATGCCTAGTTGCTTCTGTCCTCTTGTCTGGGGCTGAAGGCCTAGTTGCAAATACTAGCAGGCACAGTGGTGGAGAGACTGAAGGAAGGCAGGGACGACACAGCAGAGGCACGAGGAAACGAGGCAGCCGGAGCCGCAGAGGGAGCAGAAGCCAAGACAGCTGCAGCAGAGGCGGAGAGGACGGGAGATCCGAATTCGAAGGCAGACCATTCCCAGAGGTGGTGCCGACTTGCTGCTCAAAGGCAACCAACTGAGTCTCGAGGCTGTGAGTCCACGAGATCCTGAATCACCTGAACCAGCTGGAGATCCAGGGCAGTCAGAGCCTGAGGGACCAGAGGCGGGAAGTGAGGTGGGGTGTGTGAGGCAAGTCATTTTAAAGACAAGTGGAAGCTTGTGATTGGTCAGAGTAATGGGTGACATAGCATTGTAGTCTCCCTGGCAGAACTTGTGGTAAAGCTTTCATTTCAGCATTCAACATAATTATACCACAGCAACGTACTGGAAAGCTGAGCTTACTGGGCCTAAACACGTCCCTCTGCCACTGGATCCTGACAGGGAGACCTCAGTGTGTCAGGATCGGCAAGCCCATTTCCAGCACCACTAACCTGAATAACGGTTATTTAAACTGCTAACTGTCGACAGTGCTGCAGCACAGCTCAAATCGCATCCGGAAGTTTGCTGATGATACTACAGTGGTGGGTCTTACCAGATACTATGATGAGTCCACAGACAGAGAGGAAGTGGAGCAGCTTGCAGGCTCAACATGCTATCTCTTAATGTTCATAAGATGAAGGAGGGGATTGTTGACCCCTGTATCCTCATTACATTCTAGAAGAGGACAATAAAAAGCATCCTGCCCAGCTGTCTTACTGTCTGGAATGGGAACTGCACCATCTCAGACCGGAATATTCTATGGCAGATTGTGAGGACAGCTGGGAAAATAATTAAAGTGTTTTTATTCAAAATCAACACCACCTACCACAAGCACCGAATCCACAAGGTTGCCAGCATTGTGGACGAACCCTCCCACCCACCTTATGGACTCTTCACTATCCTGCTATCTGGTGGAAGATATCAGAGCATCCATTACACCACTTCCAAACATTGTAACAGCCTGTTCCCCCAAGAAGACAATTTACTTAATGCACTGACTAATGCCTGGACTAATCTAGAACCTCTTCAACATCCACCTGGATTTCTAAGACACTTTCCGATATACACCTTGGCTAATCTAGACCCTTTTCAGTTTAGTTCATTATTACTTATATGCTCCTTTATTCCAGGCTATGTATATATGAATGTATGTAGAAAAATTGTCAAGTTGTATTGAGAAATGAAAACATGAAATGAAATGAAAACTACTTTTTTTAAATGACTTGAAAAAGGTCTTAATCAGGGACACAAAAATGGATCAGAATCAAGAACAGAAACAGTTCCAGCATCAAGAAGAATAAGGCCTAAATGGGGGACTGAAACAGAGCACAAAGCATGGACAGGAAGAGACCTTAAAGCATAGAAAGGAACACAGAACAATCTGTTCACACAAAGACAAAAGAAGTCAATAAGCTGCCGAAACATGAAAAATTTAATCAAGATAAAGGACCGGACGTTCCACAGAGGAAAAAAAAGTAATGGGTCAGCAACAGAAATAGAAGCAGGTTTCAGGAGAAAGA